ACTGCCCAGAGGCAGCTAGTGTTTCAGTTTCTGCCTTTACTTTTTTACAATATTTATTAAATTTTTTTTAAGTTAAAAACTTCAAAAAGTAAAACCAAGTTTCCTTTCTGCTTTTGTTCTGCCTCCTGATTTTTATCCCCAATTACAGCTGTAATTACAGGGTTTTTCTCTGTCCTTCCAAAAGTGTTCTCCACCAGGAGTTCTCAGCTGGGAGCTATATCGAACCCTCTCTCCCCATGGGGGACGGTTGGCAATATCTGGAGACACTTTTGGTTGTCATAACTGGGGGTGGGGGAGTGCTACTGGCCTCTAGTGGGTAGAGACCAGAGATGCCACCAGCTATCCTGCTGTGCACAGGACAGCCCCCACCACATAGGATTATGGCCTGACAATAGTGCCAAGGTTTAGAACCCCTGTTCCATGTATATATGTGTGTGTGTGTGTGTGTGTATACATACATATATATAAATATAAACAAATACAAATGTGTGCACAGACCCTTTTTATATACAAATAGTAGATTGCCCCACATTGTGTTACACCAGCTTGCCTTTCCATTTTAAAGCAAAGTAGCAGGTGTGTCTGAACCAGCTCTGTGAGGCAGTTTTGAATGCTCTGATTCCTAAAGCCATTCCTCTGAGTATTGGGCAACAGGGTGGGGTAGTGGGGCCATCCCAGATGGCCCGGTGCCTTCTGATTTTGCATCCTGGCACAATTAGGTCTGTCTCTGGCTCATGTGGCTTTTCTTCCCCACAGTTTCCACACCTACCCATATTGCCATGGAATTCTGGGGTGCCAAAGCCCACTGCAGGGGTCAGTGCTCATGCCAGTGGTGGATCTCTGTGTAACTGACCCTTTGCCAAGTCCTTGATTGGAACAAGACTCGCCAGCCCCTTCTTCCCATATAACTAAAGTATTAGGCCTGTGCCTTCTAGTCTTTTCATAATTGAATTTGACACTGAAATGCCTGTGGAAAGGAAAGAGTGTGCTGGTTTGGCTGCTCCTTTCCCATGTTGCTTCACTTTAACTGGATTTGGCCTCACCCAGCCATGAGGGAAAGTCTTGCTTTTAATGCATTTCTGTCCGCTGAAGAGCAACCAGCCAAATAGGCAACAGTCTGAATGAAGGGGGGGCCAACCCTAGAAGGAGAAACGTGTAACTGATTTCTCCTGAATGTGACCCATTCTTTGGATTTTGTATCACAGGGATTGCTGCTTAATATGGGCCTTGTGTAGCCCAGCATCATTGCAGATCAAGGAAGGAAGAGGTTGAAAGACTGCACACTTTAATGCAAATCCCATTTTTTGTTTCTCTCTAGGTCTTCCTAATTATACATCATGCACCCCTGGTGAACTCGTTAGCTGAAGTCATTCTGAATGGTGATCTGTGTGAGATGTACGCTAAGACTGAACAGGATATTCAGAGAAGTTGTGTAAGTCATTAGCATTATGACTGTTTCTAGACCTTGATAAGCCATGGCTCATTTTGTTAACCCGTGTGTTTCTCTAAAACCGGAAACCAACATTCTACTTACAGCAACAGTGACGTATAAGCTATTCTGAAATTCAGGGAACCTAATAAGAGTCTTGAAATGGGTACCCCAGCGAAATCTGGGGGGTCTCTACTAAGATTAGATTCATTAATTGTATATTATTGAACATGGAATTGTACTGCTCTGGGCCTCAGGTTGTATATGTGTGAGACACTGTTATGGGGAGAGAATGAGAGAATACCTTGTCTAAGGCACAAATAGCTATAAAGGCTGGACATGGAACATCTATAAAGACATAGGCCCCATGTGAGGGCAGTAGGAAATGGTGGGGACTATGGCAGATTGGAGAGTGTATGCGTCTTTTGTGAGCAGCTGTTGTTTCACCCAGGCTGCAGTCATTCTGCAGGACTATGGATGCAGTGTTGCTAGGTTTTCTCATGTTTCCAGAGAAGCTGCAAATTTGCATTTTGATGCAAAATCTCCCAAGATTTAAATTATCACTGAACTGTGGCCTAAACAGACCATATGTGGTTTGTGCATTTTGTCCGTTTTGTGCTCTGCCAAAGAAAACACCAGATGACCAGTATAATGACTTCTCCTGCAACTTTCCTAGCTTGGCTCCTGTGTATTTTGCCTGCCTTCACTCCTCTCCTCCTGCTCCAGGCTACCTTAGTCCTGGTCCAGCTTGCTTTTCCCCCAGTGTGCCCACGTTTCTGCCTTTGTACCTGTGCCCTTACCAAACCTAAGTCTGGAAGGCCTTTGCTGCTGGTTCCCTCTTATCAATACCTTATGAGCTTTAAGCAGCTTAAGGCAGGCATCTTGTTTGTCATTGTATCTGCTGCAGCATGGGCTCAGCAGGCATGTCTGAAATGAGCCCAGAGTGTAGGCACACAGGCAAAAGGCTGGCCTTACCCTCCAGCAGTCAGCTCTGTTGTCATATCTGAAGGAGTGGGTGGAGGGTGATCCTGTTGCATGAAAGGCCAGAAGTGCATAGTGTACCATTACAAGAGTCACCTGCCCTTCTGGTTTTTCTGGTGTCGGGTAGCTTAGGCCATTTTGTTCTTTAAGGGAGCATCTGAGCCTCTGTAAAGGTTCCCAGAAACTTTCTGTCCTTACTGGTGGTGGCATTAGTTCAGCTGAATTGAATGGGGCCTTTTCATGGCCCCAGTGTGGCCCATCCTCTCTTTGATTCATTCATCAAGTGTTTCTTAAGCCCTTTCTTTGAATCCAGCATCATCCTAGATCTGGGGATATACAAAATCCTAAATAGTCTCTGTCACATTGGAGCTTTACAGTTCAGTAGAAGAGACAAATGTTGATCAAATATACAAATGCCTGTACTATCTCGAGTCTTAGAAGTGCTCTACAGAGAAAGTGTAGTGTTTGGTGAGGGGAATTTAACCTGGAGATGATGAGAGTGACAGTGTTGAACAGGAAATACTCCCCTAATGATCCTTATCATGACCATACATGGTCTAGAAAATGTGGAGCTGAATTGGTGTTTGTGGAGCCAGAGATATTTCTTTGCAGGTTTCTTTTTTTTTTTCTTTTTTAAATATATCTTTATTGATTTCAGAGAGAGGAAGGGAGAGAGGGAGAGATAGAAATGTCAATGATGAGAGAGTCATCATTGATGGGTTGCCTCCTGCACGCTCCCCGACTGAGGATTGAGCCCACAACCTGGTCATGTGCCCTGACTGGGAATTGAACCGTGATCTCCTGGATCATAGGTCAATGCTCAACCGCTGAGCCACGCCCAGCCAGGCTCTTTGCAGCTTTCTTAAACTCACTTTTGCAGAACAAATGCAAGTAATGGAGACAGAATCAGCAGGTCCCAGTCAGAGCTGCTGAGGACCTTGCCAGCCAGCAGGTTACCTTTGGCAAGTTGTTTCACCCCAGATAGAAAACACGGAGAGCAAGCCTACTCCAAAGGGCTTTTGGTGAGGATGGGAAGAAAATATACTTAAAGTGCCATCGAGTGCCTGACAGGTTGCAACCCAGTCCTCAGAGTTGTTTGGTTTGGTCTTCACAGTGGGTAAAAGAAAATTTTATGAATTGCCAACTGTAAGATGTAAGAAGTTTCACATAAAAATCTATTTCAGGATTGTCTTGAACAGTCAGAAGATCTGGTCCCTTGATGCACGTGTTTCTGCAGGAAGCTTCTCAGAGTCTGCCCCTGTCATATGAGGCATGTGTTTGCCATTGAATTTCCATTGTCCCCGCCCAGCCTGCTGCTAATTCATACTACATTTACATGAATAACAAGTTAGAATGTATTGGGTCCCTTTGGACTTTTTTGTCTCATGATTTTCAGACCCCGAGATAGCTGCTAAGGCTTCATCACAGAATGTCTTCCTATATGACACTCACTGCTGAGGTTAGACTTTGTTTTCCGAGATGAACCCGAGATCGTTGTGGTGCTGGGGTTTGCAGGGTTTTTTAAAATTGATTTTAGAGAGACGAAGGGTGAGAGAGAGAGAAAGAAGCATTGATGTGAGAGAAACATCGATTGGTTGCCTCCTGCACGCACCCTGACCGGGGATTGAACCCGCAACCTTGGCATGTGCACTTACTGGGAATTGAACCCACCACCTCTTGGTGGGTGACACTCCAACCTACTGAGCCTCACTGGCCAGGGCTGCAGGGTTTCTTTTTAAATTGATTGGCATGCCTTTGTAAGAAATAATAACACTCTTTCCTTAGTTTTCCCCCATTGGTAACATCATGCAAAACTTTAAGTACCACAAGCAGAATATTGACATTGATACAAGGGGTTTACAATTTGAGCAAAAGCTACTTGCAGAAAGTTACTGGTGACTTCTCAGCTTAGGATACCCACTTTAGTCAAACCATCTAATCAGAGGGAGAGTTTAAGAGATTTGTTCTTTTACCCTATGGCTTCCGCTTGGGATAAAGGTTGTTCCTTCCATGTGATAGACACACAGCTGCTCGTTGTGGTGGATGCCTGAACTGAAAATGAGATTTTTTTTGAGCATGGAAGGAATTGCCAGCCCAAGTGAAAGTGTCAGCTTTCTACTTCCGGTTTTTACCTTTCCCTAGTGCGAAATCAAAGTTTGTTGTATTCTGATGACTGCAGATAAAATTTGGGAAGAGTGGAGGTGAATCTCATTTATGACTTGTTTGACAATAGTCCTGGTGAGATTTACCTTCCTTCCCTCTGAGCAAGAACAGTCTCCTATTGTTTCCTGCCTAACTCGGATGTGGTTTGGTCATACTTGTTTTAAGTTTCTTGGTCTTTTTTAACCTACTTTCTCCTTCCCGTAATTTGTAGATAAGTTACTGGTATTGCTTCATTTTTACCAGCAGACCTTTCACAAAACCAAACCAAAATTAAAGAGAGAGAGAAGCAGAGGGGAGAGCAGAGTTATTTGAAAAGTCTGTAATTTAGGGTTAAATTTAAAATACATCAGCATGGTAGATAAATGTCTAATTGAAATTCATCTGTGCATTAAAATAATATGGTTCCTACTAAGGGATAATTTCTTGCTATAATTCTAATGCAGAGCAGATAGTGTGTTTGTCAGGGAAATAGAGTAAGAGAACACTAATTCTGAAACTGCTAACATCTCATTATTCTTGCAAAACAAACATATAGATTAGATTATGGGACATGCCTCATGACCTATAGATACTTTTTTTTAAGTAGGGACTTTTTTCCTCCTGGGTTTCTGTGGATAGTTTCCTTGGTTCTTACATTCATTCATTCATTCATTCCTCATCAGAGATGTGGTGGTGCACAGAAAATACATGACCCCTGCCTTCACTGGGCTTCCTATCCCCCGTGGGATGTCTTGGAGATGCCTGCATCGCTTGTGCCATCATGGGGCTTGCCAGAGATGCTCACTGCAGTGGGTGGGTGCTCACTGCAGGAGTGAATGACTCGATGGGTGAACTGGTGATGGGGTCACAAGGGCCCTCGTGATGTTCTTAATGACTCTCAGAACAGAAATAGCTTCAGGGCCTAACCCTCACATGCCACCTTCTCTTTGCTCATAGGCAGGCTTTTGGGGAAGGAGTGTGAGAGTGGGTGGCCGTTGGTGTTGTTCCACATTCCACCTTAAGAGGCAGCTAGTGGAGTGGATGCTGGAGCCAGATTCCTTGGGCTCCTCAAATCCTGGCTCCTCATCGCACTAGGTGTTCTCCAGGACAAGTTAATCCACTTCTCCTAGCCACAGTTTCCTCACCTCTCCAATTAGAATAACAAACATGAATTTTTGGAGAAGATTAAATGCAGCATAAAGTGCTTATTCCAAAACCGAGCACACATCAAGGCATAAATATTAGACGTTATCATTGTTGTGATCTTAGTTTCTGAGGCTGCAGTACAACCTTATGTACCCTATTTGGGACCTTTCTCTGTATGATTAACTGAGGCACACTCAGTGTACCCTTAGTGAGGTGCCTCATAACCAGGCATAAAGGCATGGAGGGCCAAGTGTTAGCAACAATAACAGTGATGGTGACTGCACTAATAGTAAACGTGGCCATTTAGTAGCAGTGGTCTGAGCCCTTTGTGTACACTGTGGGCACTCTGATTCAGCCGGCCTTAAGTACAATCTCTGGAAAGTGCAAATACTTAACCCATTAATGTGCATTGGCTGGCTGTGAATTCAGAATGGGGGCAGAATTCGGGGGCAGAAGAGGCTTGTTTGTCCCAAATGAGGATGCTGACCATGTTTCTGTAGGCATCATTTCAGCCAGTTGTGATGGTCACCAGATGATTCTCTGGGGATCCCAAACATTGAGTGTATACCTGGGATGTTAGCTGCCAGTTCTCTGTGACTGACACCCATCCTTCCTGGGAGCCGGGCCCTCTGCCAGCAGAACACTCTGCCCGGACATGGCCTGTGGAGCCAGCGGCTGACAAAGTAGCAGCCTGGCTTCTCTGGCTTGTGTTTGCAGAAGCAGAATCATGGGCT